CTTGTCTTTCCATTCTTGGGAGACCAAATGATACTGTATAAGAAAGACACCTGCACCCGAATGTTTATAGCAGCACAGTTCACAATTGCAAAGATGTGGAAACAACCCAAGTGTCCATCAATACATGAGTGGATTAATAAAATGTGGTATATGTATACCATGGAGTACTATTCAACTTTAAGAAACAATGGTGATATAGCACCTCTTGTATACTCCTGGATAGAGCTAGAAATCCTTCTTGCATCATTTATTGACTGTGAGATTTGGACAACTTGTTTAATTTCTCTGAGTCTCATTTTCTTCATGTAAAAGGAAATAATAGGATCTACCTTATAGGTGTTATGAAAATGAAATGTGTTAATATTTTAAAGCACTTGGAACAATTCTTTGCAAATAACATGTGCTATATGTTTGTCAAATAAAAATATTTAGTCATAGCAGATGCATTTTTATATTGTCTTAAAAACCATAGCTTAGGAATATTAATTATTTCAGTAGTTCTAGTTTGTGGAACTCTCCACCTACTCAATGTTTTTGTCAGATTAATCTGATTCCATTGTTTAATGGTAATTAAAAATAAAAAAATATATAGTTATGTTATAGGATGTATAACATGAATTCTGTTCATTGGATATCTTAATTTTTTCCCCACAGCTTTAATGGTACTGCTCTAAACTGATAGTGTTTGAAAATATTAGTAAATTTCATACCGTTTAATTTTTGCTAGGAATTAACTGAACAATAAGAATTGTGGTGAAGTAACTTTGACTAAAAAAAAAAAAAAAACCAAAAAAAAACCCCCATGTTTTCAATATAACATTCAATATTCAAATTGTTAGTTTTTAATTTTCATCTCTTAAACAAGAAGACATTCTTGTAAAATGTCTAAAATTTTAAATATTTTTCCTTTCTTTTACAGATGGCCAAGAAAAATATTCTGAACTAATCAAAAAGTTCCACGCAATTGAAATGTTATTTACACTCTATCCTCCTCAAGGTGCCCAGGTGCGCAATAATACACAACTTAAGTCAACTTGGCTGAGACCCATAGTAAATGGGGAAGAAGGATATAAATATATAGGTAAGATAGTGAACTTTATTT